GGTTATTCGATATTCTAGAAATGAACGTTATGTTTTTTGGAGGGACAATTTTTCCTATTGCTAGAATATAGTTTTTTTGTGGTATACCATCAATTGTGTTGAAGACGAAGGCTTGTTCGCGGCTAGGAGTCTTTTCCATGGCAACAGCAGATGCGAAGTTTATACTATTATTGTTCATGATATTTGGTGAAGAGATTATCGGCTGGTTCCGAATGTCGACGTGTTTTCTGTGCTACCGAAAAGCTATAAAACGTATAGTGCGATAAGAACACGTGTTGCACGGTCGGCTATTGAACACGAACTCTTTATATACATTTATTAAATGCTTAGTTTTAAAATTATTATTTTTTTACTTCAGATATCCAGAGACCTGATGATTTTACTAGTAAGTATACTGTATAACATATTGGTATATTTTCTAATTTTTACTATCCGAATACATCCATATTGTAACTATATTTATAATGGTCGATTGAAGAATCTGAAAATTCTTGTCTATAATATAATTTGATAATAGTATATAACGTTAAAGGTAAAAATTAAATCAAAGACAATGTTATTTATAGGTAGAGGAACATATGACACAGCAGTAAGGAACAGAAGACATATTTTAAATTTAGCATACCTGTCAATTATCAATGAAAAATTGAGTAAGCCGTTTTCCTAATAATATTCAACGCTACATTTAAATTGATCAGAACAATGCAAGTGTTAAATTTTGTCATAATTATTTCTCGTCGTCAATTTATAGGATTTAAGGATTTGTTTTTTCTTTTCGATTACAATAATATATTGTATGGTTTTCAGAAGACCAGCGAATGTGCGAAAATCACGAAAGAATAAAATGTATGTTGATCGGGTTAATCAGTCATAAAAAATATCAGTCGAAAAACAAACAAGGATGTATTGGTGATAATATTTGCGTTATAACTACTACCGAGTTATCAAAGCAATGGTATTCAGATATGCATGACGTTACACAAAAAATGGAGAAGTATCGAGATCACTATGACAGCAATGATAAACGTTTTAAGATATTTTTCAAAGACCCTGTGCGGGGATACATAGAATGGGACAGTGGAATACCAGAAGAAGTAACAGAAGACGAGGGGTCTTCTTCTAGACGATGAGTCAATTCAATAGATGTGCATGGATAAGACAGTGATCTTAGCATCATTAGCTAAAATCATTGTCTTATCTAACTATTAGCGCTAATAATTAATTTGTTTAAATTAGTACACAGCAAAATAGCGATATTTCAATGTAAAAAAAAAATTTCAATCTAATAAAATGTCTTAACATTTTATTAGATTAATGACATTTTTTTTAGAGTAATCCTTTATTTATGTACAATAATGTGTACCTATGTGTTAACCTGTTTCTTTAACAATAAATTATACCTTTATGATTTTAATTTTATCCATATTTTTATTAGGTACATTTTTGTGTGGTTTAATAACTATGGTAGCTATACGGTAACTATATGGAAAACCCAAAACCGCCTAATTAGATTTCCTAACGAAATATGTTATCAGTTTTAGTACATAGCTGCTTTTTTAAAAATAAAATTAGATATGTAGGTACATCACAAGTTTAGATTATTTTTTCTTTGTCGTTGGTTTTAATAGCTCACCCGTTAAATTAATGTTTCCATTTGGTTATTTATACGCTTTTAGCATATTCAACTTATTCTGTAATTTTATTTTTTTTCATAAAATCAACTGTAGAGAGCGAGAGAGAGAGAACAACATTTATTAAAATATAAAGCTGACTGCCTGTCTACCAGGTTGCCTATAGTGACACAGTATACCATATCGGACATTTATGTTATGAGTATAAATTAAAAGCATATAAAATTACATAATAGTTATAGTGTAAAACATATAAGATAATTTGATAAATATTGCAATAAACGTGGATGAATATAAAAATACAATAAAAGTATGGAATATAAAAAATAAAAAAAAATAATAAAAATCACACAGAATATAGATGTCTATGGATTATGTTTAAAGTATCCTTCATTATTTCTAGACATATTGTTCTTAAGTCTTCTTTTCTAAGCATATGAATTTTAAAGAAATCCAATATAAATTTGGAGGCGGTGCCCCTAGCACCAAACCATAGACCTTTTGCATCCCAGTCATCGATACCGTATTGATGCTGCAGGTATGGTATGGTAGATAAATAGATGTTTCTTTTTTCCTCGTTTACTTCCTCGTCTTGATTCAAATTATTTGTTGACTTCGTCCACCCGTTGCCCTATTGGCCATTGTGTTCATGGACATTTTTATTGAGTTAGTCCATTCACTACTGGTCAATCCTACTTTGATTGAGACCCGACTGTTTGTTAACGTGCAATGCTCGTACCAAGCCACCCCGCTTCCTTGTCGAGGCAACGCTTTCCAATTGTTGTATTCTGCTTTCGTCAATTCCGAGCGTATAGCACGTATATTAGTACCTGTAACTCCGCCTATCCTTTTTTGACATTCGTCAATTTCTTCATCGATATCTCTCGCCGCCTTTAAGTGAGCACCGTTAACACGACTGAGCGTTTGACAAATGTTTAAACGTTGAAGTGAAGCTTCCCATTGCACTCTCAGGATACCAAGGCCCCTTAGCTTACGTCCGGTATAATATACTGGTATGGGGGTGTCGGCGGACAATCCAGCAATTTCCCGAACACCCTCGACGCATGACTTTGTTTACCTTTTCGAGAAACACTGGTGCCAAAAGATCTACTGGCGCTGTTTGCATGGGAAACACGAGCTTAGGGTACACGTATTGGTCTAGAATATTAAATTTTTGGTCTCCTCGTAGAAGTGGGGTCGTAATCAATTTTCGGAAGTCTTTTTCTAAACCGGTTAGTAACTCTTTTTGATCGAATATTATTTTATTTTATTAACTCCTAGATAACGTAATTTTTCTTCTGGTGTAGTACTGCGTATTTCGGCTCCGTCCATTGATTGTTACCGATTTTGCTGGGTTTATAATCATGCCCACTTTTCCGAACTCTGTGCTCAAAGATTCAATCAATGCACAAGCGCTTTTTGCATCTTTTGCGATAACTACGGTGTCGTCCGCAAACGCCAGAGCCACCAATTTTGTAAGTTCAGCTGAAAGTTCATATCCATAGGTGTTTGAGTGCATGGTCTTGACATGCGTTGAAAATAGTCGGTGATAGTGGGGACCCTCGTGCGACGCCACAATGTAATTTAATTTGGTTGGACTTCACTTGATTTATTTCCAACTTTGTTGAATTTGTCGTGGCCAATGATGTCACCAGTTTTGTTAAATTCGTAGGTAGCGGCAAAGAGTTAAATGTATTTCTTAAGTGATCATCACCAACCCTATCGAACGCTTTAGACAAATCAAGTGTTACAATACATATACCATTCTTTTTTTTCCATGGCTGAACGAAGACATCCGTCCACAATGGATGCGTTTATATGAACACCGGAAATAAATCCTCTCTGTAATTGGCTGAAGTGGATCCTTTCTCTTATTGCCTGGTAAAGACATCGTTCAATTATGCGACGAATGACGCTGAAAATAGTAATTGGTCTCCAGTTTTGTAAATCTGTTTCTGTGTCTTTACCTTTAAAAATTAATATGGTTCGCCCAGTTCGCAACTTTGATGGGACATAGTCCCGTGCCAACATTACCTTAGCAATGGCTAAATTGCAGGTGCACATTTAGTTTGTCGGATGGTTCTGAGTACAACAGCCGGATGTACAGGGCCGGGGAGATAACTAAAGAGTCGAAAAATTCTACTGTCTCGATCTGAGGTGGTAGTTGAACGAATCTAATAAATTCCGCCTCAAAATGTGTTGTCTCTTGGATTAATCGATTAATGGAGATATCATTAACAACTGAGTTTAATACATTATTTACCGAGGTCGTATCCATTGTCTGTCGTTGGGTATTACCTTGAGTGCCTGTAGGTAAGCCATCTATAATTCTTTGAACACTTTTTTGAGCACACGCTCCAGAGGCTTTAGCCAAATATGTCCATTTAGAGAAATATATGTTTTTCCACAACCGGGGCATGTCACTTTTGGAATTACCAAGTGATAAGTTATCACTGATAACAGAATAGTGATAACAGCGAATTTGTTATTATTCTGTTTTGACTTTTTTATGTTAAATGGAAAAAGGTACTACAAAACGTACCATACACCTTACCTCCTACTTTCGGACGTTTACCTGTACGAAATATACGATTTTTTAGTTTTTAAGTTCTCAATCATAATTTAAAAAAAAAACATAACACCCCATTTGAAAATCAAAAGTTGCTATAAAAAAAAACAAATTTGGGAGGGGTGTAGAAACATACAAATTTGTGGAAAATTGAGATCACATCATACAAGAACACGGTGAAAATAAAAATTCAATATTATTAATTAAACCCAGCAAAATATTGACTGGCCCATGATAAAAAAAATCACACTGTATATGGGCCATAGCATAGCTGTTCAAAAAAAAAAAACCGTTTACGATCTCCGAAGAACTTGTTATTGTCGAGACAAGTATTTTTTCGTATTTTGTTTTGTCTTTGGTGTTTAAATATTTTAACTATTTTCTTGCTTGGCCATAGAATCATCTGATGTCCCAATAATTATAGCGAATTATACTATTTTGTACATAATATTTTTCTACTAAATTGTCCTAATGTTAACATATTTTTAAATTATTCAAATTAGTTTCAAAATGTTTATGAAATATTCTTGAAACATAGAACTACCGATAAACGGTGACGAACCGAAAAAATATCATAAACCCTTTCCCCTAGAAGGTAGTAAGGTGGTAAGAATAATTTTTTTTGAATTTTGGCCCTAATAAAGTACTTTTGTGGTACCTTTTTTTTTCGACACCACTGTGCTGGTTTTTTTTTTTTATTGTTACTCAATTTTTCTGTACTCAAACTTTTTGGGAAAATGTCCCAGTAATAATGTGCAAAGTATTTTTTACTATGCTTAAAGTTATTTATTTGTTCAAAGCATGAGCAGCTTACAGTGTACGTCATGTTTATACAGATGGTACAAAAAGTGGTACAGCACCAATACATTTTCATCTTTGTTCATTTCGATAACGTATACGAACCCAACAACACAGCGAGAAAACAGGTAATATGAATATAATTACGGATTAAGCTATAAAAAAAAAATAATAGACATAATATTTCAACTCCTACTTTGCACAAGCCTTACATAAAGTGAAGGGTACAAGGAAAAAAAAGCAAGAAAGGTCACTTTTTTCTAATCTAAGAAAAATATGTTTAAGTAAGGGAAAGGTGGGTAAAGCGGCCACAATAAGGGAATTTATCGACTAAAACTTAGATTTTTAATTTTTTTTTTGTCTACTTACTATAGGAATGTATACTTTGACTTGTTAGACATCATTATTTGCAATTAGAATTATATTTTAGCTAATGATTTAATTTTCAGATTCGTTTTGTTTCGAAACGAATTTTATAACAATAAAATCGCCTTTTTTTCAAAACTGACTTGTCTGTTTTTTCCCTGTGCCCTCCGAGTGGAAAAAATTAAAACGCACAATATTATCAAAATAAAATATGTATTTAAGAAAAGATAATGAGCTTATAAACAAACACAATACTTTTGTTCCCCCTTTTTTTGCTTCCTGCTTCCTGACCCAAACGGGAAGACACTGTTGTTGTTTTTTATGTGATTGTCTATCAATTAAGGTTCTATAGAATATTCCAAGAAGTATATTTGCTGCAAATTTTTGAAAATATACGTTTAAAATAAATGTAACCAAACGTATATCGATTGAATTTGTTTATTTTTTTAGATTTACACTAAAACAAACAAAAAATGACTAACAACAAGCTACAAGTGTTTTGTCTGATTGTGTTAACTATTTGCACTGTTATAAACGAGATAAAATGCATAACAAAAAAAGAAGGTAAACATATTTCAACGACTGTTTTTGAATAATTTTTCATTTTTATTCATTTAACGAACAATTCTACGATAATATTATATTATAGTTTGTACAAGCAATTATTACATATTTTACATTTTTATGTAATTTAACTCATCGTATTTAATATTACGTTTGTCGATAGTTATAATATTAATATATTTTCTTGTGTTAATTTTATATTTTTCAAACATTTTATTCCAGAATGCCGCCGTCAGATTTCCTTAAACAGTGAGTGATTTTTTTTTTTTTTAGTCATTTGGACAGTTTGTAACGTTGCAATTGTCTGTTCAATTGTGTCATTATACAGGGTGTCCCATTTTAAAACACTAATCTATTTTGACATTTTCATGTCTTAGCTCTGACACATAACCGAAAAAATGTCAACGAAAAAAGCGTTACCATACGGTGATGGGGATGGGGGTAAGAGATAGGGGTTGGAGATAGAGGGTTAGAGATAGGGGTGAGAAATAGGGGTGGTAGATAGGGTTGGAGATAGGGGTGAGAAATAGGGGTGGTAGATAGGGGTAGGGGTGAGAGATAAGGGTAAGAGATTAGGGTAAGGTATATGAGATGAGAGATATGTTGTACGTTCAACTTTCAAGTTAGAACTAATTTGATAAATTCAAAATAGTTTAGAGGCCCAAATTCTCTATGAACTGTTTTATGCCAAATATTAAACACTACAATATTAGCCAGAAACTTGATGTTTTAATATACTAGCTTGTTACTGCTTCTTAATATACTATATCATTATCTATAATTCCACCACTGCTCTAAATTTATTCGGTGCTTCAACGAGACATGAAAATGCTCTCTCGTGGTTGCAGACTGGGCTGAAAAACTTTTTCTCCGAAAATTCTAATCTAATCAAAAAGTTGTTTATGTAAAATATAATTTGTAAATTAAGGCTCTTAGCTATTTTTAGTTTTATTATCTTATTTTGATGTATACCACACAAACCAAGGTTACCACACATGACATGGTTACCATATGCATAAACGTCGGCCATTTTGAATTTTGGACCATATTTTTTTTTAACGACCCCCTTTGTACTCTAAAATGTTTTGTGTATTTAAGAGTTTTGAAAGAGATTTCATTATGTCTCACAGTATCTTACACTATGTTAGCTTAGACCTCAATGTATTTTGTTTTTTTTATGTGTTAATGGTGTAAAATTCGTTTTGTTTTTAGACCATTTGATTTCCAGATTAAATATTCGTGAGTGTTTGTATAATAAATTATTAGTATATAATACTTAAACCAAATAAATTAAAAATTATTTTACAAAAAATACAGGCATCATAAACATTTTTTAAAAAATTGGCACAGTCTATTATTTACCTTGTCAATTTACCGGTTATCATGGTAACTATGTCTAGGCCTTTTACGTTAGAAATGTGACAACGATTATCAATTACAAGTAGTAGTAATCTAACCTAATATGAGGTAAATGTATGCATAAAAAAAAACGTTCTTTAGTATTAATTAATTAAAAACATTGTTTTTTGAAAAGTACTTAATTGGTGTAGTTTGAAAATAAGAATATATCTCAACTGAATATCTTCAGCTTAGTATTTCCAAGTATTTCAACTTGTGGTGTAATATATTGACATCATTTAACATGATATGTCTGTGTATAAAATGTCTTGAGGCAAGTCTTTTAAGTTTTTAGATCTGGAAAATTATTATTATATACCAGTAGTTCAAGTACACTGAAGCTATTTTTTTAACGATATCATTAATAGTTTATTTTTGATTTCAGAACAAAAATACAACCTAATAGTAATGGCCGTAGACGAATTCGAATATGGTATTATTATATTTTGTATATTGTTATTTTTTAGTAAGACCGTCTTTAGAATATGTTAGGTGTTGATTTTCAATTGGTTACCAATTATGTTCGTTGTACTATAAAATAAAACCGATAACAGTTACTCGGTTTCTGTTATTTTACATATAAATATACTGGCTTTATATATATATATATATATATATATATATATTGTTTCTATTTTATTTCAGAGGGAGTTGGGAAATTCCTTAACCCGCCAGGTAAACTATACTATGTTTTATACCATTAGGTGTTATCGTTTTTTCCCCCATTAAGTTGAGGTTAGTTTTACATTTTTTGTAAATTGTTTTTCTTTTAAATTTACCGGCTTTCCAAATAAAATGGTAAACTGGTAAATTTTTATCAAAGCGACATTTGCTACAATAAAAGATGTATTTAAAAATATTTTGATAAAGTGGCTTGAATAAATACCTCTTTTAACATAATATATTTTTTAGATAACGACTATTTGTGTCATGACGTGGATGATAACGGTAATTTTTTAAATAATAACTAAATGACATTTAATTGATATATTTTTTTTCGATATTAATTCTTTTAACGGTTTAGTTAACAATTAGTTTACTTGGCTTATACAAAAAACACATATATTTAGTATAGTTAGACTTTTAAATTATCATAATTGTAAAAATTTTTTAAAATAAATAAATGTTCTAACTTAAAATAGTTTCAACTAAAATGTTATCATTGAAATGAGCAATTTTTTTTTATTTTTAATAGTCAAGATAAAAATATTATATAATCATTGATTTTTAAGGGACAAGTAAAATGTGTAAATTAAAAAAAATCACATAGCATCCTATGCAAATATTTGGTTTTATTATTGCTCAAATGAGTTTTACTTATTTTAGCTAAACAAATGAATTTGTAGTAATAATACATAGGTAGGCCGAGAACATTTACAATGTAATAACACATTTTAATGGGAATATAATGTTTTGATTATAGCTCAGGTATATATCACTACATACGCAGGAGAACAATCCTTTGAAGAGGAATTACTAAAACTCCTAAGTAACTTTTTAATATATTGTATCTAAAAGAAAAACAGTAGTCAAGACTGTACAGGCAATAAATGCTTAAATGGATTTTTACATAAAATATGACTATATCAATTTACTTAAATAAGATACATATTAATATTTTTTATATACATTTATTAAATGCTTAGTTTTAAAATTATTATTTTTTTACTTCAGATATCCAGAGACCTGATGATTTTACTAGTAAGTATACTGTATAACATATTGGTATATTTTCTAATTGTTACTATCTGAATACATCTATATTGTAACTATATTTATAATGGTCGATTGAAAAATCTAAAAATTCTTGTCTATAATATAATTTGATAATAATATATAACGTTAAAGGTAAAAATTAAATCAAAGACAATGTTATTTATAGGTAGAGGAACATATGACATAGCAGTAAGGAACAGAAGACATATTTTAAATTTAGCATACCTGTCAATTATCAATGAAAAATTGAGTAAGCCGTTTTCCTAATAATATTCAACGCTACATTTAAATTGATCTGAACAATGCAAGTGTTAAATTTTGTCATCATTTTTTCTCGTCGCCAATTTATAGGATTTAAGGATTTTTTTTTCTTTTCGATTACAATAATATGTTGTATGGTTTTCAGAAGACCAGCGAATGTGCGAAAATCACGAAAGAATAAAATGTATGTTGATCGGGTTAATCAAGCATGAAAACTATGAGGCGCAAAACAAACAAGGATGTATTGGTGATAATATTTGTGTTATAACTACTACCGAGTTAACAAAGCAATTATATTCAAATACACATGACGTTACACACAAAGTGGAGAAGTATCGAGATCGCTATGACAGCAATGATAAACGTTATAAGATATTTTTCAAAGACCCTGTGCGGGGATACATAGAATGGGACAGTGGAATACCAGAAGAAGTAACAGAAGACGAGGGGTCTTCTTCTAGACGATGAGTCAATTCAATAGATGTGCATGGATAAGACAGTGATTTTAGCATCATTAGCTAAAATCATTGTCTTATCTAACTATTAGCGTTAATAATTAATTTGTTTAAATTAGTACACAGCAAAATAGCGATATTTCAATGTAAAAAAAAAATTTCAATCTAATAAAATGTCTTAACATTTTATTAGATTAATGACATTTTTTTTAGAGTAATCCTTTATTTATGTACAAACATGTGTGCCTATGTGTTAACCTGTTTCTTTAACAATAAATTATACCTTTATGATTTTAATTTTATCCATATTTTTATTAGGTACATTTTTGTGTGGTTTAATAACTATGGTAACTATATGGTAGCTATACGGTAAATATATGGAAAACCCAAAACCGCCTAATTAGATTTCCTAACGAAATATATTATCAGTTTTTTGTGCCTCCTGTAAAGTCGAGGAATTGAGTTAGGTAAATAATCAAATTTTTCAAATTGTAATAGTCACATCTTATGTTTAATTTTTATTCATTTTAAAAGTTATACCTAATAGAAATTAAAAAATAAATGATAATGATGCTAAAATCATTGTCTTATCTATGCACATCTATTGAATTGACTCATCGTCTAGAAGAAGACCCCTCGTCTTCTGTTACTTCTTCTGGTATTCCACTGTCCCATTCTATGTATCCCCGCACAGGGTCTTTGAAAAATATCTTAAAACGTTCATCATTGCTGTCATAGTAATCTCGATACTTCTCCATTTTGTGTGTAACGTCATGCATATCTGAATACAAATGCTTTGATAACTCGGTAGTAGTTATAACGCAAATATTATGACCAATACATCCTTGTTTGTTTTGCGCCTCATAGTTTTCATGCTTGATTAACCCGATCAACATACATTTTATTCTTTCGTGATTATCGCACATTCGCTGACCTTCTGAAAACCATACAACATATTATTGTAATCGAAAAGAAAAAAAAATCCTTAAATCCTATAAATTGACGACGAGAAAAAATGATGACAAAATTTAACGCTTGCATTATTCTAATCAATTTAAATGTACCGTTGAATATTATTAGAAAAAAGGCTTGTGTTAATTGCTATGTTTAATTTGTATTCATTTTAAAAGTTATACCTAATAGAAATTAAAAAATAAAAATCGATAGCATTATTTTTACGAGTTGGGGGTAGTTCTTCCAAAAAATGATAACGCGTGATAAGAAATAAATGTAGAAATGAAGAACTCTTATCTCTTATCATTTTTTGGAAGAACTGCCCCAAACACTATTTTTACCTTGTTTGGGTTTTTTGATAACTTATGTTTTGCCCCCACTTGGAATTACCAACTGATAATTTATCACTGATAACAGAATAGTGATAACAGCGAATTTGTTATTATTTTGTATTCGGCTTTGATGAGAACAAAATACAAAATTGGTAAATAATTATAAACAATTATAAAATGCGTTAAGTTTGAAGGATTAAAAGACCAAAGTGCCCGTCTAGTTTTTGTACATTCATAATGAAGTTTGTGTTTTTAATTTGTGTTATTGTCTCCTCGTTGTTGGTTAATGTTTCTCAGGTAATTATTAATATTTTTTTACATTTTGTACTCATACCAGCTCGTACAGTCACACCCAGATATTTTTATTTATTTTTCATTAGGCAAATCATTCGAATAACTGGGCTGTGCTTGTGGACACATCTAGATTTTGGTTTAATTATCGACACGTAGCCAATGTGTTATCTATATATAGAAGTGTTAAACGCCTTGGAATTCCAGACAGGTACAATATTTTCCAATATTATAATTTTTATTATAAATGTTTTACCAGATGAATATTCCATTTTAGCCAGATCATATTAATGGTGGCCGACGATATGGCTTGTAATCCGCGTAATCCAAGTCCAGCGACCGTTTACAATAACGCAGACCAACAACTTAATGTTTATGGCGACGATGTTGAAGTTGATTTCAGAGGCTATGAGGTTTGAACATTACACACATTTTATGTTATCGAATCATAGAACTAATTCATAAAGGTTTTTGTTTTTTTTTCATAGGTTACTGTTGAAAACTTTGTACGGTTATTGACTGGTCGTTTACCATCGGAAACTCCTCGCTCGAAACAGCTATTAACAGACGAAGGCAGTAATATATTGATATATCTCACTGGACACGGCGGAGACGGTTTTCTAAAATTCCAAGACTCTGAAGAAGTTACTAGTCAAGAATTGGCCGATGCACTTGAACAAATGTGGCAAAAAAGAAGGTAATCAATTTAAAAATATATTTATATTTACAAAAATATTTCTAATACGCGTCATGTACACGTTGTTCTAGGTACCATGAAATATTCTTTATGATCGATACTTGTCAAGCTTCTTCGATGTATGAAAAATTTTACTCGCCAAACATACTAGCGATGGCCAGTAGTCTGGTAGGAGAAGACTCGCTCTCGGTAAGTTGTAATTGAATGGTTTTACGATCATTTAAAATCAATTGCTAAGATGGTATTATTTATGTTTGATAGCTCTGATTATAAGATCTTATTATTCACGTTATTACCGTACGTAATGTACTTTTTTTTTGTATTGTACTTTCAAACTAATAATCCGATCGTTATTATTTTACACAGCACCACGTCGATCCGGCAATTGGAGTGTATATCATAGATCGTTACACGTTTTATGCATTAAAATTCTTAGAAAATGTCAAACTCAAGAGTCGTATTAGTATGAAAAGTTTTGTGAGTATTTTGTATAGTGCAAACAATTGAATATTTAACACAATATTGTATTTTCATTAAAGTCATTTCATCTTTTAGCTTGGTGTTTGTCCGAAACAAGACTGCATATCTACTGTTGGCGTGCGAACTGACTTATTTCACCGTGACCCAGCCAAAGTTCCTATAACTGACTTTTTCGGCTCCGTGCGACCAGCAGAATTAACATTTAATTTTTTAGATTTAACCGATACACCCGCTTAGGCTAGAAATTTTTTTTTAAAAATGTCAACAATAAAACTCGCAAGTACTACTAAATATCGAGTAATAATATTTATTTATTTATTTAAACACATGAATTTCACCAGGCAAATGATAATACAACTAAGAAATATTTTATATTGTTTAAACTATTTATTCTTATTTATTTGTTTTCTACGTTGTAAAAATTCAAAGAAAATACAAAGGTGATCTCATAAATTTCTCATGTATTATTCAAATTATTATAAACACTAATATCAACGTACTGTTAAGGTACAACGTGACCGTACAATCAGATTATTTGACCCACCAATTACGTTGTCCGTATTTCGCTTGCGGTCTTTCTTCTTCTTTGAAGTCTTTGAGACCATAAGGCAAGTCGCCAAACACTTGCGGTGCTTCGGGAGGTGGTTTAGGACGATTTCCGTTGTACACACGAGCTTTGCAAAAGAATCCGTGTTCGGGTCTTTCGATACCCATTTTTTCAAACACGCATTTATCGTACACCGCTTGAGTTTTACGGCACGGTTCAAATTCGAGCCGAGAACTGGACTTGTCGATACAGTTGCTGTATATTTGAAATTCGTCGTAACAGCTGACTTTGAGTTGCCTGAAAAATCGGAGGGCACAACTAGTGACCGCTTTACCTTCGGCCACACATTTACGCGGATCTTTCGTCTCTTGTTTACACATCATGAAATCGTCGTTCGCTTCTATGCAATATTTACCTGAATAGAATAAAAAAAAACATATAAACATCATAATTCATCTCAAGCTCGATGAAAATTACCCAAATGATGGGCAGCGGCCCGAAGTCCAGGTGTACTGATTGGCACTTCTTCAACCGTCAGGTCTTCATAAGTTGGCAATTCAGTATCGCTGGTTATGACCATGATGAGAGAAGTGGACTATGCTGTTCCTTTATATAAAATAATAAATACCCAATAGTCTGATGCTTTGGTAGTAATGCAATATTTATTGAAAAAAAAATCCGAAAACGTATTATTATTGTTATCACATATTTGAAGGACTTTGATAACGCCATTCGGTACATTACAAGAGCTCCAAAACTCGACTTTTCAGCTGTTTGTGTTTGTACTTGTTACCAAGCACCTGGTAAGTGGTAACCCTTATCGGTAACCGCGATGAAGCCGAGGCTCACTGTTATCTATTTCGATTTATATTCGATTGTGTTTACAAATTACAATAATATCAAATTGTATGTAATTAATATATATTATTTTATACCAATTGTTCATGTACAAAATGTTTTATAATGTCTAACTATAACAGTGCACGTTGACTAAACGTTTTAAATGCGTTTTATTTGATAAAATTCGCGTTCGTTGAAATTTCTAATTTTGTTTTATGTAAATTTATCACTGCTTGACGATGTCTCTGTACGACGATTTTGATGCTGTAAAGCAAAAATCCGATGGTTGGTCTTCTGGCATGAAACTTTTTCAGTCACAAATGCAGTTAAAGAAAGCTGCCCAAACACAGGTGCCCTTTACACTTTATTATTATCACTTGTTTTTTTAATATTAATTTATAAAAAATTAGCATTTCACTTACTGTTTTGTAATATTTTTGTTTAACTACGATTTTATAGTTTTGTAGTTATAATTTACATTTTTTTTTTTTTATTGTAGCCGAGAAGAGATGCAGCTCGTAAGACCACGTCGATTTTAGCTCCAGTTATTGATTTAAAAAAAAAAGACGACGATGATTCCATGTTCGATCCAGGACTTGGTTTTACTCTTTTTCCCATGACTAGAGTAAGAAATTTTATTTTCTTCTTTCAACATGTATATGGGAAAATTTAGCGTGTTTATTTAATCATTTACACCAATATACTTAATTTTCAAGGGAAGAAAATTACTTGCACAAACATGTAGTATGAGCATAATATTATTAAATTACCTATGTATTATTATTCTGTAGCTTCTGTTGATTTATACTGAATGTCAAGTTGTACCAGACGACTGTGTTTGGTGACTATGTCTAAAATATAAAAAGTTATATAGTCATTTTTTTTTATTAGCTTCGATGCGAATCTGAGAAGGTATTGATGAGATTGATTAAAGAGGTTTTATTGTATTAACTGCACTGTATTATAAATGTATAATATATGTAAAAAAAAAAATGAAATGAATAACTTTAAAAAATATTTTATGTTTTTAGGAAGGCAAAAAAACACAATGTCCGTCGTTTCCACCTATGAACTGGAATTTTGATGGCAACGAATACGACCCTATGGTGCCCAACGATTACGAAAGAGTAGTTAGAGGTAATATTTAAAAAAGAATAAAAAAATTTTTAATTGTTTGATTCTACTGTTTATATTTTGTACAATAAGAATACAAAATACGTGTTAGAAAAAAAACAAACATTATATTATATGCATATTGATTACATATTTTGCAATTAAAGATTTACGAGATATGAGAGACAAAGAAAAAGAAAAAGAAGACGAAGAACGTCGCAAAAGAAGAGAAGAGCGTAGTAAAACTAAAGACTCGTACGTTTTCGGCCGACTTAACGGTGTAAATATTAATGAACATAACAGTTTTTTATTTGTTTTATCGTTATAGCCTTAGTATGACGGACATGTCCGTAGGCATGTCCACTCCTGGCGCGGACGACCGAAGAAAATCCGGGTTCGCCGGTCGTAAAGACAGCGATAGCGAAGAAGAAGCTGATTCAAAACCTTTAGCTAGAATACCGGGCGCCGCCATTGCGCCTCCGCCCTCATTACAAGAATCGGTCGTATCGTCTCCCGGACCACAAGCGTCCGGAACAGGGATGGGCGGCGGCATGGGAATCGCCGCGAAAATTATGGCCAAATACGGCTTCAAGGTGTTATTTTTTAAATGTTAACCGTGTTCATTCAAACGCAATCTATTATTTATTAATATTGTATCGATCGATCGATTGTGGTCGCGCAGGAAGGACAAGGATTGGGTAAAAAAGAACAAGGCATATCGGTGGCTTTGCAAGTGGAAAAAACGAGTAAGCGAGGAGGTAGAATTATTCACGAAAGGCCAGGTGGAAGTTTATCACCTTCTATGGCTACTTCCGTGCAAGACGATTTCGTAGCTCCTGCACCTCCGCCGCCGAAACCTTTACAAAGCATAACCGAAATAATGAAAGTACAATCGAAGGTAAACGCAAATTTTATTTCGACTGCAACGATTAATAATTGAAAACAAAATATTATATAATATATTATATCTACTCCACTAGGTCGTGTTACTACGAAACATGGTCGGCCCCGGAGAAGTTGATCAAGATCTCGAACCCGAAGTGAAAGACGAGTGCAACACTAAGTACGGCGACGTCAATCGAGTGCTTATTTACGAAGTGCCCGACGTAGATCCCGAAGACGCCGTACGAATATTTGTAGAATTCAAACGCATCGAATCGGCAATTAAAGGTAATATGTATAAAAATGGAGAAAAAAAACCTTTAAAAATATTAAATTAACACATTAACACATTTTCGTTGTAGCCGTTGTAGATTTGAACGGAAGGTTTTTTGGCGGAAGACAAGTGAGAGCTGGATTTTATAATGTCGAGAAATTCAATAATTATCAGTTACTTGAGTAAAAAAAAGCTAGCCGAAATATTTTACTCTTTAATTTTTCACAATCCACAATTTTGAATATATTTTGTACATAATCGAATAGCTATTAAAAATATATAAACGTTTTTATGTACTAAAATTATTATGTTATTATTTTAGCTTCACTTTTAAAACTTACGTCGACGTGTGAAAACTGTAAAAATAAAAATCGTTGACTTTCAAAACAACCTCAAAATATAGTCTAAAGATGTATAATTCTCAAAGTTCAATATTCTAGTCACTTAAATTCTTTAACTTTGACTTAAGTCTAGTCTAGTGGTATTCTTGACATATTGTTAAATTCGTATTACCCAATTGGATTCCTACATGCACCGTGGTGTGACGTGCACGAGAAGATTCGACAATATTATTAAATACTGTTTGTCCTCCTTTTGGAGGATTGATATTTTAGTTTAAGTATACTTAATTGGGTTAATGTCGAGTCATATGTATTTCATTATAAAAGAGAGAAGCGACTCCAATAAATATGAATACTTGTAATTTTTTTTTTTCCTACAGGTTAATTTACAAAAAAACTCTTTATTTCAAAACGAACTTTTACAATGAACCACGCATATTATGTAAAAAAAAAAAAAAAATGTAATCCAAGAAAAAATGATTGTTATATGAGAATTATTAGATAATATGGAGCGCGACGTTATAGCGCCTTGTACAGACACAATAGGCAACACAACACACACAAACGCCCCGCTTTATCTGTTATCTTTGTCCATGCTTTTCCAAATAAAATATTATTGCTAACTTCATATTATATAAGTATTTATTATTATTATTATTGTTGCGGTCGATTCGTCAACGCGTTGACAATTGTCTCCATCGTCCTGTGTGTGGTTTTTTGTAGAATTCATATTATTTATTTCATAGGTATAATATAATATATTGAATTTAAATAACAACAATAACGGTTTGTCGTGTTCGTGTACGTTATAATAGCACTGCCATGCAGTGTTGTTGTTGTTGTTGTTGGACAGTGTTGAGAGTTGTTTAAAAATGTAAACGGTGCGTTCCAAACGAATCGCAGCTGTACAATGGCCAATGAATTGGAAATACCTTTCAGAGAACTCCTCGAGAACGACCATCCGGAAATATTTGAATATTTAAAAAACGCTGTTCGCATGTTACACCGGCAACAAAACCTGTTGGCCAAACTCAAAAACAACGGTTTAGTCGACATCAAGGTTTGTCGATACATAAATTGTTATATCGTTTGCACGTATCTCGTTCAGCGGCGCTTAATGTTCTGTTCATTGATTTCCAGAAATGTCACGCTCAAGCCGAATCGGTTTCCCCCAAGACGGACGTCGACGATGGCGCAACAGGCGTCAAGCGAGAAAACGTGAACGCCAAAAGTAACGCAATCGAAACGGCCGACGCAAATCCGACCAATGTAATTATCGCTTTTGTACAGAGTCGATTTTTGGCTGCCGAGCCTTTTGCGTTGAGCAATTCGAAAAACTGTTTATTTTGTTATTGTTGTAGTCGATTACTTGTTGTTTGTGTGTTACCAATATTATTTGTTTAGGCGAAAAACGCAACGGCAAACGTGAAAAAAGTCAGTACGACCAACGACAACGCTTGCGAATCGAGTGCAATCAAAGAAGAAGGAGAGTGTAGTGAAGACGAAGAAAAATCTACAGACGTCAAATCGGTAGATCGTAATCGTTTGGAGACTAGTCGTTTTTTGCTAGAAGAGACTACCGGAATGTACTACGACCAAGTCACCGGCTATTACTATAATCTAGTGAGTAGACGATTTTTATATTTTAATAAATTAATGTGTGTGTGTGTGTTTACGCGATTCTCAATTTCAGGATAACGGTTTGTTCTACGACGGCAACCAAGGGTGTTATTATTATTTCGACGTGATTGCGCAAAAGTATCGATTGCACTCGCAAGTTCATCCAGACGCTACTGCGGCGCCGACACCTTGCGAACGGCCTAAACCGGACGGACGTGAACATTGTGACGTTCTACCGGAGATTGATTACGGCGATTCCGACAACTCTGTGGACAGCGGCAATTTAATAATCAAAGAGGATCCCGAAGAAAACGTCGAACCCGAGGAAAAAGAATGCAAAAAAGATTCGACAGTGGACAATAGTAGTGTAAGTTGCAAAGTTGGCGAGCGCGACGAAACAACAAAAGAAGACGTTAAACAGCAATTGAAAGTAATCGAAAGTGAAAACAAAATCGTAGATGAAACGCCGCCAGAAGTTACGTCCTCTCCGCCGCCTTCTACTTGTGAAGTAAATCAAGAAATGTTTTGTTGTCGCCTTGTTCTTATTTAATTTGTTTTTGTTTTTTTTCAGGTTCTGGACAAACGATATTTGAATTTATTACAATATACCAAGTTATTGCCCGCTCCAAAGAATATCGTGCATAAATTAACGCCTGATGGGGTAAACCACAACGGTAAGCCATTTGAAAAATTGGCACTCGACTATAAACTTAAATAATTTCCAGAGTAAAGCCAAACAATATGCACAAATAAGAAACTGGTATGCGCTTAAGCATCAGCTGGCGGCGATCGAATCGGAAATCGTTCAGTATGAAAATTTCGTCTGGGACCGCATTGAACAGTACCTTTGTCTGAACAAGAGGGACGATAAAAATTCCAATTGGAAGTCGTACAAAGAAGTCAAAGCCAATCTTTCGGACACGCAAACCAAATTGATAAAATCGAGTAAGAATGGCCGTGTATCATTGGCGTACCGTTGTTGTTTTACACGTCGTTTGTTTTACTCAAATTTCAGAAGTCGTCGGGTGGCCGCCGTGCATACGCATCATAGTGATCGAATCCAAAGCGTGTAAAACGTTGATTGGTAAACTGTTTTTGATTACATGCCCGGGCGGTACGATAGGACGGTCGACGAGTCGAGACGTCATAATACCCGACGACAATGTCAGCAAGGTAATCGTCGTTGCAATGGTTTCGATCGTAGCGACATAATATGTACAATAAAGTAAAACGGCGTGAAACGTCCTTTTGGTTTTTTTTTCTCAGCTGCACGCCGAAATATCTTTTGTGGGCAACGTCAACAAAGTAGGACGAGGTCACTATGTTATCAAAGATAAAGGAAGTACAAACGGCACGTACTTGGATGGTAAAAAAATTACAAAAAGTTCGTCTTCCGGCGAACCCAAACATTTGATCCACGGTTCCGAGCTTCTTGTGGGCGACACAAAACTGTTGTGTCACATACACGACGGCATGGAAACGTGTAACCTATGCGAGCCGGGCATACAAGCCACCGCCGCCACGGAAGAAGGTGAACACACTAGATCGACGGCCGTTGTTTTGCGAACCGGCAGTTACGGCAGTTTATTTGTCGATGCAATTGTGTTGATAGCATTTTTTTTTTACCATTTAGTCGTTAAAAATGAAATTCCACAAAAAAGAAAACACGACGAAGAACTTAAAAGTTTGAAAGAAAAATACGGCTTACTGGGTTGCGAGCCGCCCGAAGCCGTGTTGCCGAAGGGCTATAAAGACAGAGCCGAAAAGAGAAGGAAAACGGTCGGCTCTCAGAACGCCCACGAGAAAACCGAAGTAGCTTGTCTATCACAGTAAGAAATATGAAAACCGTATTGTTGGAAAACATTAACCTGCTAGTCAAAGAGCTAATTAACGTCATACTTTTGTCTTTTCAAAGACAGTCGGAGTAATTTAAATTTCATTTTTCCAGGCCAATTCCTACCAAAAACAAGGGCTTCAAGTTATTGGAAAACATGGGTTGGACGCCAGGTAAATCGTTGGGCGCCAACAACTGTGGAATCAAAGAACCCGTAAGTTTCCGCGTACAAATAGTTACGTACTTAGTATTAATATATTTATAGAGAGAGAGAGAGAGTGAATCACATAGTTAATGTAAGTTTAACGAGCATGATTTGCTGCATAATTGATGAATAGTTGTTTCTTGTCGATCGTGTATTACGTAGCATATGATAATACGGCAGAAGACAACGCAGGCGACTGTAGCGATTGTATAGTTGCGACGACTACGCAAACACTGTGGTTATTGAGATTACGTAAAACTTGGTTAAACTAACTCTCTATGGCGGTATATAAAATATTCACACTCCTGTAAGTCTGCGATTAGTTATGTACGGACGGCTTGTAAATATTTAATGTGCGAAACAACAACAGTTATAGCACATTTCTCAGAGTTCTCTTGTTAAACATCATCATCATAACACTGCATTGGCCATTACTTCCGAGTAAAATTAATACTTTTAAATGAAAACTTAAAAAAAAAAAAAATCTCAGAAACTATGCAAAAAAAAAACTAATAAATAAATAAATAAATATATATATATATATATATATATATATATATATGAAAATTAGTCTTATTAATTTGCCTTTATGCATCTATTTTTCTAGATCGGTTTGGACGTGCGAGACGATAAAATGGGCCTGGGTTTCAACACGATGGGCGGCTTTGCCCAAATCGAACAACCCAAGATCAACGTAGTCGTTAAGCCGTCGAAAATTCGATTCAATTTCGGCAACAAAACCACCAACGTGCCGATAAAAACTAACAAAATTAATTTTTCAGAAGGTAAATATCGTAAATTCATATAGTTTGTATTATTATTCCACTTAAACTGTAGAAATTATTATTAATCTAAATAACATGTGTTTTCGATTTTCAGACGCTTCATCGGAAGAAGAAAAATAACACTACCTCCACTCTGGTGCCTCGAACTGACCGACAATAATTTTTGAAAACATGTATTTATATTTTTCGACTAAAATATTATGATATTACACATTTTTGGTGAGATCGGTATTTCCAATCGTGTGTGATTTAATATGCATGTACAAACAGTTTTTTAAAATAAATTCTAATTTTATTATTATTACTATTTTAACGTGTGAACTCGCGTCACCGGTGCTTCGTTTACGATGTACTTTAAATATATTATGTATACTAGTAAATACATAAAAATATATTTTATTACGGTAAACCAAAACTATGTACAAACAGTGAGCTCTACGATTTAGCTTATATTTTATTCAGTCGACGTGTACAATGTCGTCGTGTTGTATTTCAAAATACATTATATTTTAACATGTAGGTTTAATTTAGCGATAAGTTTCATTTTACTTAACGACTGTGTTAAGTCGACTGCTGTGTTGTTATATTTTATAATTATTATGTACTGATAAAACATTTGCTAAATAAAAGGTACGTATCGTGTTTAAAACCCGTTACTGTTTGCAAAAACAAGCTATTAAAATAATACTTGTCCTTGTTTAAGGTTGTCCGACTTGTGGATTAACTGTGTGTGTGTGTGTGATTAACAACTTGATAAATTTGAAGCAACAAGAAGGAAAAAAACAAATCAAATTGACAACGTTAACAGATTTGGCGGGTATAGTAGTGCCCCCCATTAGCCAGAAGTAGGTAACGTTCACTCCCATTAGGGTTTTCTTACTAGCTAGTGGTACCTGTACTATTATGTATTTACTATAATTATATTTGAAAGCCTAGTGGTTAATCCTTCAAACTAGTAAAAAAAAAAAAATGGTTAACGGTTTCGGCTAGTAATCTCGCATGAGCTCGTTAAAATAAACACGGATAATTAATTGTAACGATGATGAGAATTATTATTTTTTATTTTTTCAAACCCGTTGACCGATGATATATTATCCGGCAATAATTAATATTATACTTACTACAAACTGTTGGAGCTTGAATTGTATTTTTATGTTTTTTTTTTTTTTAATTAAAATATATATTAGAGTATGGATTTTTTTTTACCATACAAACATTAACTCTATATACAAATTGTATTCTATTGGTTACAATATAACAGTTATATTAGAGTGTCTATTTTTTTTTTTTCTACGGCTTGACAGTAGCCTGTCCATGTAAGATTTCTGACCCTTAGCCAAGAAGTACTCTAAGTACTTGTTTTCAATAGGCTACCATCATCAGTTGGGAAGGGGGCAATATTATGCGGCGATCACTCTGTAGACACACGGGGCCAGGGATAATGTATTGGTATTGTATCCGTAACCGAATAGCTGCTATAGGCATAATAGCAGCGGCCAGCGAATGTTCTCTAAGGTCGTTGCGCGCGACCTTCTCGAATACAACAATATACACGGCCAGCGATCAACGACCGCCGCGTACGATGCCGCATCGCACAGTGGAACAATAACAACAACAACGCCGCCGCCGCCGCCATGTAAGTACGCGTGTAATTGCGCGCGTATACGCGAACGTAAGCGGCATAGGTAAGCGTATTTTATCCAGCAGTCGCGTGTAATAGATAGGTAGGTAGGCACGACGTGCCGTACATGGAATTGCGCTGAAGCTTTTTAAATGATATAAAATATTTTATGTAGGTACATCGCGTCTACTCCGGGGGGGGGGGGGGCGCGAAGACGACATGACTAATGATATTACTTAAGACGGCGGCGGTGGCGGTCTAGACTCGAGGTGAAAGAACTTATGCGGTCCAGGGAACTTTGGGCGACAACGACCGAAAACGTGTGCATCGTTAATCATCACTCTCTCTCTCTCTCTCTCTGCCGGACGACCTTACGTCGTGCAAGTACCCGGACGGGCGGCGGCAACCCTCCCCCCGCCCCCGCACGTCCGCCGACATCATTAATATTATTGCCGCGCGCATAAAAGCTCGTCGACGACGGCGTTACGACGATTTATGACCGTCGACCGTAACGGAATTGTTGATCGATTCGCCCCCGCTCGCCGCTTGACAGTGACCTAGGCCAATTAATTTCCCTAAACCGTGGCGACGCGCGCTGCTCCCCCGTCCCGTCGTTATTCAATTTACTCGCTCGTCGCCGCGCGAAACGCTCAATCATTTTCGCGTGTACGCCAACGCGCGCGGTTCGCGGCGTCCTGTCCGCCGCCGCCGCCGCCGTTGCGTAATCGCGCCGTCTTCCGAGTATCGGCGGTCCGCCGCCGGATACCCGGAACCGCGTGACGGCTACAACAATATATGTATATTAATGCGTATCGCGCGTCAACCGGGTTCTTACGTTTTATGCCAAACCTAATTGATTACTATGTAGTGTAATTAATCATGTGTTATACATAGTGGGGGTGATCCGACTGACGACAAGACACTCATTTTTTGTGAAAATATGAATATTTTGAGAATTTTTTTTCCCCTTAACTTTTAAGTACATATATTTTACTACATTTTTCGATGTTTTGAAGTTTTTTTATCACCAATCCTTATAAGCCAAAAAGGGGGTTTTTGGGTTTTTTTTTTTTAATGGCAACATATGTTTTTAATAACATACATTTGTAGACAAAAAATTTAAAAAAATATGTTAGCGTTTGATTATTCAATTTTCATGCATTTGTTCATTTGTACTTAATAAAGATTTGATTTTTCGACTGTATTTCTTGATATTTATAGTGACTTCCTAGCCGTTAGTAGTAGAATGTTATCGCCAATAAATTTGGACAATGCGAACATAAATATGAATTTCATGTGCTACCTACCGGTTTTGGAAAACCGAAGAAATATGATAATTATTAAGAATAAATTTACAGTATCTTTACCAAAGTCGTAGCTAACGAACAGATAAATAAAAATAAAAAATTCAAACGCTAACCTTTTTTTTTTTTAATTTTTTGTCTACAAATTTATGTAATTAAAAACATATGTTGCAATTTAAAAAAAAAAAACACAAATCTCCCTTTTTGGCTTATGAGGATTGGGGAATATTATTAGGCATCGTTATAATAATTGAAAATATGTTGACCTCCCTCGACCCCACTGTAGGTGGTATTGGCTACTGGCTTTTTATTTCGCTATTGTTGTCTTGTGAGAGGAGCAGCTGATGAACGGTTTGTGTAAATATGACATGTCTTAAAAAAAAACAACAACAACAACAACACGAGTATGCCGAACCTACCTCAAGCGGTTTTTTTGGTTTGTTTTTCACACACAATGTCGGCAAATGTAAAAGACACGGCGGTGTTCGTGCGTAACAATGACAAAATATTTTCTGCTGACTGTCCGTTTGTCCGGCACTGACCTATCCGCACGGCCGCCGTTTCCCATTGGCCCGTTTCGTTTGGACAGCCGTCGTGTCGACCAATCAGAATGCGGCCCCGGAGAATCCACGCGTCCGATTGGCCGTTGTCGGTGCAGGACGTTGCAGGTACACGCACGTACCTATTTAGTGTGCACGTAATAATATTTACCTGTTCGGCGATGCCTGAACGTGGAAGAATGTAATTTTCGTTTTTCTTTATTTTGTCGGCGAGCCTTGAGATGAGCAGCAGAATATAATATGCTAGCTACGGTCCAGCGGGTACCTGATACCGAAACATATTAGGTATACATTATAATACAATGTGTACACAAACGAAAATCCATTAAGAACAAACGGTTTCCACACAGTATAAATATATATATATATATATATATATAATTATTATTATGGGTATCTACCGGTCATCAATCTCAATTATATACAATTCAACTGTATACGACAATAGTGATAATCATCAGGGTGTAATGCGGTTGAAACTTGGAATTTTTTTTTATTCATTTATTTGAATAATATAATATATAACCGCCATTCGGCTCGAGACGGCCTAGGTACAAAACGAAACGACAAGTATTTTAGACACATCAAAATATTCTTCAGATATGCTTAAATAGAGAATACAAATATACATAATGATTTTTTGGTTTAAAAAAAAACAGAAACAAAGTCGACCAATACAGGTGAGCAACCTCATTTTACACCCAACTTTTGGTGGTAAAAATGTTACTGGTAATGAAAACAAACATCAGTATCATTGAGAAGTATTAAAAAATATAACAGAAACAATTTAAAAAAAACATCTATCAAATATACCTATATAAACATTCCTAAGAAGTCGTTGGTAAGGTAAACTTTCTTGTTTCTTGTAAAAAGAAAATAACAAAAATAAATTATAAATCAAAATAACAAACATACATACATCCGTTTGGAATTCGACCGTTTATTATGATTATTTTGTTTGTTTGTGGAAACCGCCTTAATTAATGTGGTTTTGTGTATAGTCAAACTATTTGAATATTTTATTTTATAATAAAACACTATTTCAATACGTGAAACATGATATACTACTACATTACCCGAACACTAATAATTTACATAGAATATCAAAACACTATATTATTATATAATATGCCTACAGAGCCTAAATATACCTATGTATGGATAATATGTGTATATTATGATCATCAGGGTCGGATTTATATAGATCTGAAGGTCGACAGTAATATTAAATAGTTGGACCAACTAGATTTTCAATTAAAACAACCATACATCTAGTCGAGCCAACTAAATGCTTAATTGGGCCAAATATTCATATAGTTATTCCAACTAGACACACACATATATATATATATATATATATATATTGTTCCCTATATTAACCTTAATTTTAGTTGGACCAACTATGTAAAATATTTTTCTGTTTCTGTATAATAATGGCTGTATAGAATCGGTACGATTTTGATTTTGTCCTCCTGTACATTAACCCTAAAAAGCGTACAAATGACTAACATTATCATAATGGCAACCTCGTGTACATTGTATACACATTTAAACGACGAGGTGATTCACATTAGTCTGAAAATAACGGCCATACTATGTCTAATAATATATTGAAAATGGTTTCAAATTTCCAAATTGCGTTTCTACAGTAAACATCATCATAATATTTTTTTTTTTTAATTTTTATATATATTTTTAACGGGTTAATAATACAACGATTGTGGTATTATTCAAGCCCTAGTATGTTTTACAGTGTGGCATAGCGTTTGGCCAATTTCGGTATCCAAGCAACGCCGGTCTAATGCGTTGCCGGTGCTTAGGGTTTGATATTTGATACCGTCAAAGTCAACGTATTAGATGTTATCACTAGGTCATCACGATAATTGTTGCGTAGGTACCGAGGTCCTATAGGTAAATAGAACAAACAGAACATAGTTATTGGTAATTACAACTAGAAATGTATCGTGTCCCTATTATATATTACCTAACCTAACCTAACCGGATAAACCAAAATCACTCTCATCTAGGATAGGTGAGGTTTGGTTAGGTTCGATTAGGTTTGGTGAGGTTCGGTTAGGTTCGGTTAGGTTTGGTGAGGTGAGGTTAGGTTCGGTGAGGTGAGGTTAGGTTTGGTGAGGTTTGGTTAGGTTATCTAGGATATATTGTGTAAAATCAAAACTATATTATAATATATTTTAAATCCAAGCTGCACCCGGTGTAAAATTGGTTAGGTACTAATTATTGTTTAGTAGAATACCTAGTTGACACGAGTACTAGAAAATAATAATTACACGGTGTTTAGTTAAAAACGCAGTTTGGTCTATGGGAGACATATTCGGTGTGTGTGTGTGTGTGTATACCGACCGACTACCTACGCAATATTATAATATTGTTGATTAATAGTAATATGTTGTCGGTCCGGTTTTTTGAGAATTATTATTATTATATAAAAAAATACCTTTTGGTACAACACCGCGAGTTTTGGAGTAAATCGTGTACTATTATTATTATTATTTATATATATATATATATATATACGAGTATATATGAAAAACGGCCGGGTTAAAAAATAGAAACCGACATTGGACGTGGTCGCCACCAGACTGTTTTGACCAAGGGCAATATTGTCCTTGAAGGCA